TATTTTGCATATTTTTGCATATTTTGCATATATTTTGCATATTTTGCATATTTTTGCATATTTTGCATATTTTTGCATATTTTGCATATATTTTGCATATTTTGCATATTTTTGCATATTTTGCATATGTTTGCATATTTTTGCATATTTTGCATATTTTTGCATATTTTGCATATTTTTGCATATTTTGCATATGTTTGCATATTTTTGCATATTTTGCATATTTTGCATATTTTTGCATATATTTTGCATATTTTTGCATATTTTGCATATATTTTGCATATTTTGCATATGTTTGCATATTTTTGCATATTTTTGCATATTTTGCATATTTTTGCAAATTTGGCATATTTTGCATATTTTGCATATTTTTGCATATATTTTGCATATTTTTGCATATTTTGCATATTTTTGCATATTTTGCATATATTTTGCATATGTTTGCATATTTTGCATATTTTTGCATATTTGGCATATTTTGCATATTTTGCATATTTTTGCATATATTTTGCATATTTTTGCATATTTTGCATATTTTTGCATATTTTGCATATATTTTGCATATGTTTGCATATGTTTGCATATTTTTGCATATTTTGCATATGTTTGCATATTTTTGCATATTTTGCATATGTTTGCATATATTTTGCATATTTTTGCATATTTTGCATATTTTTGCAAATTTGGCATATTTTTGCATATTTTGTATATTTTTTGCATATATTTATCGCATTTATCGACTTTGCATATTTTGCATATTTTTGCATATTTTGCATATTTTTTGCATATTTTGCATATTTTTTGCATATTTTGCATATTTTTTGCATATTTTGCATATTTTTTGCATATATTTTGCATATTTTTTGCATATATTTTGCATATTTTTTGCATATTTTTTGCATATTTTTGACATGACCCCAAATATCGATCAATTAAAGCATGAAACGCCTAAATACAAAATTTGAGTCCAATCGGATAAAGCATAAAAAATATGCAAAAATCCGAGGTCTACAGATAAGACAATACAACTAATAATAAGTGTGACAGTTTGTTATTTACGTTTTGGTTTTTTCGAAAAGGAAGGAAATTCAAGGTTGTTGAGGTTTTTTTTCTATTCTACTTTTTAAAATATCAATTATAACGAAACAAAAAAAAAACTATAAAAGGAGACCTCAATGAGTCTTAGAGTGTTTTGAAATTAAAAACAAATAAAAAAACACCGGTTGGATTTTTGCAAGTGAAGAAGAAGAATAAGTATCTAAAATTTCAATTTGAAATTCAAGTGGTTCATTTAATGACGATTCGTGTAAAATATTGAAATATTTATTTGGAGTTATTTGTTTGTGATCTATTTACACACTATCGATTGTGACTAGGAAGGAGATTACCACAGCTTGAAAATATTTACTTAAGGCAACGTGAATTCACAAAGCTGTAAAGGCGAAAATCGATTTTCAACTCGAAAAAACCAAGCTTTGTAACCCCTCCCCGATAAGATGGACCGTCAAAACTAGGATTTTATTTCTGGGCTTTGCCAGTGTAAATTGATGTCAGTAGTAAACGAAACACCAAACCTCAAAAACTCAGGCTCGGGAATTGAGCGAGGACATCAAATATGCTGAATATTACGTATAACTTTTATATGGCGTCTACGTAAAAATATGGACTTATATGCTCCATAAACAAGTTGTTTATCATCTATGGTCCCGGAAGCTTTAGTAACTTAATGCTAAAATATAGTCACAATTTGATTGGTCTATCAATCGTATAAAGGGGCTGGATGTTTAAATGAGGCATATACCAATATTTAACCCTTTCGCTGTCAAAAACAATTTTTGTCGGAATAAAAATCTAAAATTTTGTATTTAAAATCATATAAAGGCACAGTGCTTAGAAAAAAGGCAATTTTAATTTTTAACCCTCGGACAGTTTTGTCTGTCTTTCAGCAAAAACAAAAACATCAATTGTAACGGTACATAGGATATCCGAAAAATCGCAAAGAAACGGAGTAATTTTAGATGTCGAATATATTCCAAAAAATCACTGAAAGGGTTAAAATTCGGTTGAAAATCCCGACAAATCCTAAATCTTGGCCAAGCCAAGCTTTGTAATCCCTCCACCATAAGGTGGACACTCAAAATTGGGATTTTATATTGGGGCTTTGTCAGTGTAAATATATGTTCGGTATAAACGAAACAACAAACTATAAATATTTAGACTAGAAATTTGAGCCAGGACCTTAAATATATCGAATATGACGACATGTAACCTTTATAACCTTTATATTATATAGGCTATGTAAAAACATAAACACATATATTCTGTGAACAAGTTATTTACCCCCTAAGGCCCCGGAGTGTCGAATAACAGCTACTTCGAAATTCTTTAATATTGTCACTTCGCTTCGAAATGCGACTAGGTCCATCAAAAATCTCGGTTGAAATCGGTTGAAAATCTCTACAATGCCGAATTTTGATGGGAACTTTTGTATGGGGGCTTTCTCCGAAATATGAAATATGAGGCAATGTTAATAATTTTTGTGAGCGAGATTTCCTACCCAATCCGAAATCAAAATATCACAAATAGACCGAAATTTGGGAAATCCTCCTTACTTGGCCTTTGAAAAAGATTCTTTAATTTTTTATTTTTTAAAAAATCTATCTGTTAAGTGGCTCAAAGAATATATGCTTTAAAGATCCACAGTTTTTTCGGTCTTCCAAAAATATTATTTACAAAATCTGTGCATTATTTTGATAATCAGAAAAAAAATCATTAAAAATTTATTCTTTTATTTTGGTCCTCAATGTATATTCTTTAAAAATTCTACGCCTTATTTTAGTCTTTTATAAAATCTATCTGTGAAGTGGCTCAAAAAATATGCTATTATCCCTTATTTTGATCCTCAGAAAATATTCTTTAAAAAATCCATGATTTTCTTTAAAAGTTCGAATCCTTATTTTGGTCCTCCAAAAAAATACTCTTTAACAATTCACTCCTTATTTCGATCTTCAAAAGAATATTCCTTAAAAATCTACGCGTTATTTTGATACCCAGAAAATATTCTTTAAAAATCCATTCTTTATTTTGGTCCTCAAAGAATATTCTTTAAAAATTATACTCATTATTTTGGTCCTCAAAAAAAAAAAGTTCCTTAAAAAAGCTACGCCCTATATGGGTCCTCAAAATATATTCATTATAAAATTCAGAAGCTACAAAAAATCAACACCTTGTGCTGATGTCCTTTAAAATCTACGCCTTGAAAAATATTATATAAAAAATCTACGCCTTTATGAGTTGCTCCGAAAAGTTCTTAAAATGATCCAAACTTTGCATTGATGCCCTTACAAAAATTCTATAAAAATCAAAGCCTTACGAAGATGCCATTGAAAACTATTCTATAAAAACCGTCGCCTATTTATATTGCTTAAAAAAATTCTTTAAGCTATAATCAACACATTTATGACCCTGAAAAAATATTCTATAAAAAATCCATGTCTTGTTAAGAGGCTCAAAAAATTAAAAAAAAATTCAAGCCTTGTGTTGATATCCTTAACAAAAATATTCTTTAAAAAATCCACAAATTTTTAGGTGGCTCAAAAAATGTATTTAAAAAATCCACTCAATAAAAAAAATCTTTAAAAAAAAGCTTAAAAATACTTAACAGAAATCCAAGCTTATGAACAAATCCAAAACCTGTGTTGATGTCCTTGAAAAATATTCTATAAACAATACAAAATGGCTTAAAAAATCTTAAAAAAATCCAGGCCTTGTGTTGATGTCCTTAACAAATATATTCTTTAAAAAATCCACGACTTTATACTCTTTCGAGTCGAGCTTAATGATCTAAGTTTTGCAATGAAAAGAAAAGCCAGGAGAAGAACCTACGTACCCCCAATTATGCGACGCGTTTCGCCGTTGGTTAAGCGGCTCATCAGGCATATTAGGGTATGTGGCTTTATAAAGATCGTATGTTGTTAACTTGTATTTATTCTGCCCTGATGCGAAACTTGCATATGCGAATTAAATTCAAGATTCGACATTTGTCTTCTTTCTAGAAACAGTCCTTTTCAAAGCAGATTTTTGTTGTAGCGATGGATAATTAATCCACGCACCTACAATTGCTTCCTTGGTATAGCTTAAAATGATTTAACAGAAACCCAAGCCTATGTCCTTGAAAAAATATTCTATGGACAAATCTAAAAACTGTGTCTGGTTAAATGTCTTAAAAAATCTTTAAACAATCCAAGTCTCATTAAATGATTAAAAAAATCGTTTAAAAAACCAGGCTTTGTGTGGTGTTCAAAAATTTTGTCTTCAAAAATTTTGCCTTGTTTGGTATTCAAAAATGTTGTCTTTAAAGAATCCACGCATCGTTTATGGCTCAAAAAATACTCTAAAAAATCCACACCTTTTGTCTTCAAAGAATCCACGCCTTGTTTGGTGTTCAAAAATGTTGTCTTTAAAGAATCCAAGCCTCGTTTATGGCTCGAAAAAACTATTCTAAAAAATCCAGGCCTTAATTTTGTTTTGTCCTAAAAGTATTCTTTAATATTTCAATTATAATACCCAATTTTAATATCTCAATCTATGTACATATATAAATTTGTCATTTATTTCCTTATACTATATTATCTCAAATATTTCGGCTACACCTTAAAAAATGTGGCCTAATTTACACCATAAATTTCTATCATTATTGAGAAAATTTGCAAATTCTTTTTTTTTTATTTTATTATCTTACAGGAAATTCCATTTTGCAAATTTCTTAACATTCCCCCCCAAACAAAATATTAGAAATTTATTCATTTCCCTCCCAAAAGTGAAATAGAAAAATGTTATCCTTTAATCAACTAAACTCTCTATTAAATCCTAGCGAAGAAAATTTACACACCCCATTTCTCTATTGTCTCTTCTTGTAGGTTCATTCATTCAGTGGAGTCCCCCCTTTCATCATTACTCACAATATGTGTGTGTGTATGATTAGAGTTTTTTTACCCTGCTGCGAGCAAAGATCCATGTGTATCTTATATTACCACTTTATTTCTACAGACAATTGTACTAGTTCAAATTTCAACAATTTACGAGTAGAGTTTGGTTTGGGACACTGATTGTAGTGTATTTCTACTGACAATGTCGACAGTTGGCTTTTCTTTTATTGTCATTAAAACATATTGAATATATACACATTTTTATGTAATTTTTTTGTAGATCGCATCGAAACAACGCGTTTTTATCGGCAATTAATTTGTTTTGTGTGTTTTATTGTTAAAAAGGTGATTATTTATTAAATATATAAACAAAATGAGTAAAAGAAATTATAAAAGATTAATTAAAAAACAAAAAATATTGTATAAAAACAGAAGTTTGCAATGTGAACAAGAAAATAGTGAAAGTGAATTTGTGTCAAACGGTGGAGATTTTATAAATGATTTCGTGGAAAATGGAATGGAAGATTTTGCAGTTCCGAAATTAATGTTGCGGGACAAACTTAAAAAGTGGTGCATGGAAACGAATCCTTCAAAGAAATGTTTGGAAAGTCTTTTATCAATATTAAAGGAAGAAGGTCTAGATGTTCCGCTCACTAGAGAGACTTTGGTGGGCAGAGCAAAAAATATGTTAACGAGAAATGTTGCCCCTGGAATTTATTGTCATATTGGCATAGAAAAACAACTACGAAAAGTTGGTCACATTTTGGAAAAGTATGAGGAAGTCGAACTAGATATAAATATCGATGGAATTCCACTGTTCAAAAGCTCTCGTGTGCAATTGTGGCCAATCCTTTGCAGAATCGTTAATATTCAGGAGAAAACAAAACCGTTTGTTGTTGGATTATACTTGGGAAACACCAAGCCGGGTAGTGTGAATGTGTATTTGAAAGACTTCATTGATGAAGTGATTCTACTAAAAGGTCAGTTTATCATACAACAAAAACATTTAAAATTGAAGTTTCGTTGCTTAATATGTGACGCACCAGCAAAAGCTTTCGTTTGTGGAGTTCCTGGACATACATCAACACATGGCTGCACCAAGTGTACTCAAATTGCGAAGAAGGTAAACAATGTCTTGACTTATAGTAGCGAGAGTGGTTCCCTAATCTCCGATGAGGACTTTGCTGTGCGAAAGTATCCATGCCACCATTCCCAAATGTTCAAAGAAGAAAAAACTCCTCTCGAAGAAATTGGATTTGGTATGATAAATCAGACTCCTTTAGATAGCATGCATCTCATTGACCTCGGAGTCACCAAAAAAATGCTAACCAGAATAATGCATAATAAAACTGAAAAGAAAACCTCAAAACAAAATATTTCAAAAATATCTTCTGAATTGGTGAAATTTAAAAAATACATTCCAAGGGAATTCCCAAGAAAACCCAGGCCTTTAGATGATCTTTGTCATTGGAAAGCGACTGAATTTCACCAGTTCCTTGCTTATACAGGAATTATTGCTCTTTATAATAATGTACACGAAGATATTTATTATGAATTTTTAACTTTACATTGTGCTTATCGACTTCTTAACAATGCACGACATATGGATCAAAATATTGTTCAAGCTAATAATTTGCTTCAATTATTTGTCGAGAACTTCTCAACTGTATTTGGTTCGAACAGCATTTCTTTTAACGTTCATAATCTGCTTCATTTGGCTTCTTGCGCAGAAAAGTATGGTCCCCTTATTTCGTTTTCTGCATATGCATTTGAAAATAAACTGCAAACACTGAAAAAACATGTTCGAAAACCATCACATATCTTTCAACAAATTATTCAAAAGGAAAAAAATTGCATGATTGTCAACACTATTCAGGATGGGTTAAAATATGAAAAAGGTGTTATCGTTGGAGCTTTTGTAAATGATTGCTACATATCCTGCAAAGAACCAGATAATATTTGCGCGGTGAATTCATGCATTCCAATAAAAATTGATAATATAAAGAAAAAGGGCGAAATATATATTGAAGGCAGTCGAATTTTGGCATTAGAAAGTTTCTACGAAGAACCGGTGAATTCTTGTGAGATTGGTATTTTCAAAACGAATCTGACTCTAGGGGAAAAAGAGACATTTTGTATTAAAGACATTCAGTTCAAATTTGTATGCTTGCCAATTGATTCTGATTTTGTAATCGTGCCCATTTTACATTCCTGCTTTCCAGAGAAATATCAAGCACAAATTTTTACCTCCTAAGTACACAACTCCCGCACATAAACATGTCGAACGAAAATGCCAACCCTTCCAAAGGAAAAATGAAATATTTTGCTCCACAAGGTAATCTCCAAAGATTATCACTAAATTTTTAACAGTATAACAAAATTGAGTTCATATTTTTGATAGCTAATGCAAAATGTTCTTCCTGCCAAGAAAATGCCAGAAAACTAGACACGATTATTGATATTTTGGCGGAGCATAAAGTTTTACTGGATCGTGTTATTTCTCAGAACGCATTTGTGGACAATATTATGACAATTTTTCCAATTGAATCGGAAGAAAACTTCGAGAATTTGATCGAATTCTCGCAACACAAGCAGATCTATATGTACGTATCTGCGTTTTGGGAATAACAAATTCATAACTAAAACAATTTTTACAATTGCAGACTCGACAAATGAAAAATCTCATTGCAGGTAACGCTGAACGTAATTTGCATAAAGTATTTGGAAGAAATATTATTATGGATTTTAATGTTGACGGAACTTTCGGGAAAAAAGGTCTACGAGATTTTGGTAATGTACTTGCCGCCATAATAGGTAAAACGTGTTTGTTTTTGTTTCAAATAAGTAATGCTAAAATATAGTTTATAAAACAGAAGTTATATCAACATTTAATAAATTACCTGACAAGACTTTACGAGCAGCGTTCCAACGCCAAAAGAAAAAGTATTTTAAGATCAACAAACGAAGCAGGCGCACCGAAGAAAAGGAACAAGATGAAAATGATGAAGAACCACAAATTTAACTGAATGTTTTTATGTTATACTATATAATTTTAAAATCCTAGTTCTAACACTATTCAGTTTTATTAAAAATAAGACAAGGTTTGGCCAGCCTTGAAAAAAGTGAGCTATATATGTAATCCATTTCTTAATTTATTACCTTGCCTAAAATTCGCAGACTGTTTTAGATTAATTAAATATATTGTGTGTAGATTGAACTGTGCTTTACTTTTGTTTTTGTTACTTAATAACTGCGTTAAAAATGTAACGTTGTTAAATACTTATTCTATTACAAGCATTTTCCTAAAAATCTCAAATGACTATTTGGTTCGAATGCCTCCATATGATCTCGAAAGGACTAATGGT